ATATATAGTTGCCGAAATTTTAAATAAAATAGCAAAGTTACCCAACTTTAAACCATTATAACTTTTTTTTTAATTAAATAACTCAAAAAAAACTTTCTATTACATTATTTTTCATGTCTAGAATATTGCAAAAATAGAGAGTTTTTGGTAAATAGCCCATATTTAATAAAGTATCAGCACTTAAAGATTGGCAACATTTGGTGATGTCTTTAGATGATTGCCACTATAGTATCATTGCTAAATTTTTAGACTAGTTTTTGATCATCGTTACTAAATTTAGACTAATACTCGGCAATCATATCTAAATTTGGAAGTAAGAAAATTAATTTTAGCCAAAATCACGTGAAACCCTTTTTTAAAAAATTTTATTGCATTTTTGAACGAATCACGAAATCGCGATTTTTAAAATTTGAGCGTGTGGCGCAGCAATAAGAGTCTTTAGACCGAGCCAACCATATAGATAGGGATGTTAAACAGTTGACTCAACCGTGGTTGAACCGCGGTTTGTCGATCTGATCTACATAAATAACCAATTAAATTTTAATCATGATAAATGTAACGATTTTAAATAAAATAAATAAGAAATAGTCTAAACATTATAGTCAAACAAATTATTTATTTATTTTACTATTAAGTTTAGAAACATTTGGATAGATGAGATTATCTGTCTGTATTTTATTATAATAATAATATTTTTACTACAATTAAAATATTTGTAAGCGTTTAATTCGTTTTTGAAGTAATTCTTTACATATAATGTCTAATGACAATGATTTTTCTGACAACAACAATAATTATCTTCCTGAGTTTGAAATTAATCAATTTAACTCAGATATAATTAATGAGTTTATTACAGATGTTCAATATAATCTAGATTATCAACATTAAATTTAACAGAACAAGAAAACAATGATGACAATGATGACAATGACTCTATTTTAGATAATATAACAAATATTTGCTCATCATCTTCTTCTACAATAGAAAGTCTATCTTCAATTAATAATATTTGCTCATCTCCTGCAATGGAAAATATATCTTTAAATAATAAAAGTAAAACAACATCTGCAGTTTGGAATTTTATGTATAAAAAATATAATAGTCAAAATGAAGTTATAGGAATTGTTTGTAGTTTATGTGAAAAAAATTATGCAAAAAAATCATCAACACGACCACTTATGGATCATTTAACAAAAGAACATAGTAATATTCTTTCTACAACAAATCAATTACAAAAACCATATAAAGAAAATGATAATAAAAGAATAAAAGAATGTACAGATGCTGTTATTAATTTTATTGTTGGGTTCCAAATGCCATTTTCAGTTGTAGGAAATTTTTGGTTTAAAAAATTATGCAATATCTTTGATTCACGATATATCTTACCAACATGTCAATCTTTACAAAATCAAATTTATCAAAGATTTGAAAATCATCGTAATTTAATTGCAAAAGAATTATCAGAGCTTACAGTAAAAGTATCATTAACTGCAGATATCTGGACATCCATATCAAATCAAGCATATCTTGGTATAACTATACATTACATTAATAATAATTGGAAGTTATGTCATTATCTTCTTGATTTAATTCATTTTGTACATGAACTAAGGATACTTTTGATGATGGTTGCTACCATCTTTGCGTCATATAAAAACAATTGCAACCACCACCTTTACAACCATTTTGTTTCCTTTTTTGGATTGCGACATGGAACACTAACATGAACATACTGCTATGAGAATTAAAGAAAAGCTTTTTCAATTAATTAATGAAATGAATCTTAATGATAAAGTCCTTAATTGTTTAGTTAATAATAATAAAAAAATTTTAGAATCAATTTATCTTAATAATAATGAGTGGGAAGAAGTTCAATCAATGATAATTTTATTAGATCCTATGTATAAAGCAACTAAAATGCTATCATCTTCATCATACCCAACTGTTAGTGATATTTGGTTAACTTTCATAGGAATTTTTCAACACATTGAGTTATATATAGAAAATCAAAATCATTCAATTGAAAAATGTATGATGGCAGATTCTATACGTAAAAAACTAGAAGATTATTGGACAATTATAACAATTATAGATAAATCTACTATTATTTCAACTTTATTAGATCCTTGTTCAAAATTACTCACTTTTTCAATAGAAGAAAAAAGAAATCAAGCTATTAATATGCTTCATTCTAAAATGAATAATTATACATCAAAATTAAAAACTCAAATTCTGAAAATAATATTTTAAAATCTTCTAGTACTAGATTATTTTTTGAAAATTTAATTACACAACAAAATAATCAAGTTAATCAAGCTCAACCTTGACCAATCGAAGATGAGTTAGAAAGATATTTAGCTTTACCATCAGTATCTTCAGATTCATTACTTTGGTGGAGCCAATATGAAGATAAATTTCCAGTTTTATCTAAAATAGCACAAGATTACCTTGCTATTCAAGGAACAAGTGTTCCATGTGAGCAAGCTTTCTAAATGGCAGCCCACACAATTACAAAAATTCATAATTGTCTTCATCCCAATACAGCACATGCTGCTTTATGCTTAAAAAGTTGGATAGATTATGAAGCAAGTATGTTATAATCAATCTAGTTTTTAATTTTTAATTATATTATATTTTATTTTTTTTTTTTTTTTTTGTTTTAGGAATGAATAATTAATGTTTTTGTCATTTTAAAATTAATAAATATAAATTGTATTTCATGTATATATTATATTAAAAATCGTTGTTAAAATTAACCACTCATATTTAAAGTATGTGATCAACAACGGTTATTAAAATTGACCAATCAGATCTTAGTATATGATCGACAAACCGCGGTTCAAACCGGTCTAACACGGTTTTTAAACCGAACCGAACCGACTCAACCATTTAACATCCCTACATATATAACATTGTAACGGTTGCGCCGCATATCGTGTAATGTTATACTGAAGATCTTTATATTCATATTTCTACTTATGTATTTCATGTATTACTCATCTGATGTAAATAATTATTTAGAATTAGTAATTAGTTGATAAGCATATTATTGAAGAGTAGAATAGCACATATCATGTTATTTGTACTGCCCCAAGAGGTATAAATACATTTGGCTTTAGACCAAGTTAGAAAGAATAATTGAATAATTGTTAATATTTTGATAACAAACTTGATAACAATAACATAATAATAACTCTTAATAAATATATAACCCTTACATAAAATAGTCTTTGACTATAAGTAACTAATAAACCCAGTGTGATTAACCCCCAGCCTTCTAATGATTAATGGTCTGGCCAACCTTTAATTATTAGTTGGGAACCCTTTCGATTATCCAAACTTCAGGTTGTAAGGTAAAAGAGTTATTGGCTCTAAATTGAAGGTTCTAGGAAAACCAGACATGTGCCATTCGTAGGCTATCTAGACTAAGGTTGTAAGATAGTGAAATCAACTGTAAATCAGAGGTTCTAAGAAAACCAGACATTTGGGCTTAGGGTCAATAGGCTGTAATTCAGGGGCCAGCTGTGTGCCAAACATAAGAATTACCTGGTAAGTGAGTAACTTAGATCACACACTCACAGTATATTTTAAATCTTTTAATTGATAAAGCTGAAATTGTTTTTGAAAAAAGATAGTTTTGTCCAATACATATAATAAGTATCTAAATCAATCTACTTTATTTTAAAATCTCACAATTTCAGCCATTAAAATTAGTTTCGTCAAAGTTTAGGCCAATTAATTTTGGCAATTTTGACACACTAAGCATAGTTTCAGTCACCATCACTAGCTTGAATTAAGTTGAGTTGAATCAGTTTGAATCAAATTATATATTTGAATCAGTTCAAATCAAATTGAATTGAATCAGTTCGAATCGAATTATATATACTTAATATTCAAATCAAATCAGAATACAATTCAAATTTGATTTAATTTGATTCGAACTGATTCAAATTAAAAATTAGGTGATTCAATTTGATTCAAATCAGTTTGAATTTCATTGATACGTATGTTTGGAGCATTAAATTGAATGTTGATATAAAGATAAACATCCAGCTTCATTGTATGTCAAAAAATTTTTGCTTGAGAAGGTTTTTGTGCAAAGGGTTTGGTGCCTTTATTTTGCTTCCTGCAGATAATGGATGGTGAATTTTATGTTAAAATACTCAAAAATCATCTTGGAGAGAAGTGATGCTTTCAGCAAGGTAACAATCCCAAGCACACAAGTCAAGTAGCTAAAACATTTCTTGCTGATAATGTGCCTAAGGTTATGGATTGGCTTTCTTGTAGTCCTGACTTAACCCTATAGAAAACTTATGGGCCATTGTTAAACACAATGTTTAAAAATGAATTCAGATGATTTGGAGAGGTTTTTGACAGAGGAATGGAATTCTACTCAAAAATTTGTTTTAAATTCAATGAAATGCTGTTGTGAGTTGGTTATTGAAAGTAATTGCAAAAAAATCAAATTTTAAGTCTAATAAAGTTCATTCTGTAGCTTTTTTGCTTTTAAATGGTATATTTATCATTGGGTTTGATGTGACTTTCATGAACCTATGACGAATTAGTAAAGTTAAGTTTTTTGCCACACACTGTATTATCCAAAAACCTACATCTGCTTGTTACAAAATCAACTGTTGTCAATAAACTACAGATATAATAATAATAATAGAGTTAATAACACAAGCAAATATATGATAATTATGATGATAATAAATTATAATTTACTAAATTACAATGCTTCAAAGGCTTCAATAGGTAGTAAATCAATTTAGTCATGCTCTCCATTCTCTTGCATTTGACCCATAATATGAATGTGGCTTTATTTCACCTGCTGGAACAAAATTTACAATTATACCTGTTATGGAATGAAAAAAAATCAATGTACTATTGCTTTAAATTTTATAAAAAAAGGAAAATTTGACTGATTTCATTGAATGAAGTAAAATAATCATGTGTAACTGGAGATGAAGAGGTGGAGGAAGATATAACTGAAGAACATATAATTGCTTTAGACTTTAAAAATGCTTATGATTTAATTAAAGATTGGTAAATTTCAAAAATGTGTAGACTTTACTCCAAAACAAAATAACAAATATTTATTTCCATCCAGTTTTTCTTTTCGCATACACTCCTTTTTTCTATAAAACAATTGAAATTAGCATAAGATATTGAATGTCACTTTTGTCACATTTGATCTGCAACAGTGTCCACTATGCTGTGTAGCGAGTGATTTAAAAGAGGCTCGGGAATTATTTATCCTCGTCGATCATATATAAAATCACATGACTACACTCTGCCCTTTTAAAATCTTTTGTATATAATAAATAAACCATTGAACCAAAAAAAAATTTTTCTTTTTTTAATAAAATTTTAAATAAATATACGTAAAGAATAAAAAAATTAATTTGGAAAAAAGGAAATAAATATCGCTCTTAACGGGTCAACTCACGAGCTGAACCAAGCCAAGCTCTTTGTATATGTGTGCGGCCTTAATAATATTTTCACATCTTATTTGACTCACGAGCCAAGACGGGCTGGCTCACCCGGAGCTCTAGGAGTAATAAATTTATACTTGACATAACCTTACTGTACAAAATCCATATGGATAAATTCCTTGATACCAATTCCCAAATGTGCTTCTTGTTAGTCTAGGGTGTGTTGCCCTATTTTTTTTTTTTTTCAAAATAAAAAAAATATAATTAATATACATATACTACTAGCAAAAAATTAAATATAATTCATAAAAAAATAAGATTTTTGCTTACCATGAGCCACCCAAAATTACATGTTTATCATCAAAGAAATTTGCCGAATAACCAGGACAAAGTTTACTAGGTTTAAATCCCGAGTGTTTAACAAATTCACTTGATGTCCATTCCCATCCAGATCCTAATGTTTGAATTTTATCACTATTGTTTGGCACATCAACTGGATGCCATTTCTTAAACCCTACGTTTGATTTTAAGTCCATTGGTGATGATGATGATGATGATGATTTATGTATTGCATAGAATGCGCTTAATTCCTCTTCTGTTGGCAATCTCATCTTTTTCCATGCTGCGTATTTACATGCTTGTTCTTGACTCAACATAACTGGCCAATTCATTGCAACATTCATTTTAATTGGTCCGAATAATGTTCTAACTTTATAATCGAATAGTGATGGATCAATTGGAACCCATGATGCTGGGTATTCTTTGTTAACTGTTGCCCTCATAAATTCAAGATATTCTCCATTAGTCACTGGCCTTGAATGGATTTTAAAAGATTCAATACTAACTTCTCTTCTAGGTGACTCATTATACCACCCAAATTCTTTACACAAATCATATTGCTCATCATCTTTATATTCATCGTTATCATGACCTAGTGTAATAGTTTGTCTTGGAACTGTTGTCAATTTAGGTTCTGGTGCTGGAGTGCTCGCTTCTTTCCATTTAGGTATCACAACTCCTTTTGGCTGTAAAGTAGACGATGATTGTATCAACATATAAAGAACCGTCTCAAGATGCATAGCTTCATGTTCGAATACCATTGATAACACTCTTCCTAAACTTCTTTTCATGGTTATTTTTCCTTCATGCACTTGTTCATATACAGAAACAAGTCTTTTCCTAACTTTATCACGAAAATCTATAACTTTATCAATTCCTGGCCATTCAACTGGTGTTACTGAATGTGCATTGGAATAAAGACCCCTTTTAAAAATTTCTATAAAATTTTTTGGTTCAGTATTTTTTTCATTGTGATATTTGGAAAGATAGATATCCATAAATGCTGAAACATGTCCTAAATAAAATATAAGTGGATTTCTAAGGTCGGTAGGTTTTTCAAGTAGCATTTTTGATGAGATCATACTCATTAATATTGTGTCCCATGATTTCCATAATTCTTTCCATTCTTCTAATGTTGGTATAAATTCTCGCGACGAAACATCATCGCTACCGTGACTAAAATAAAATGGTGGTTTACTTAACAGATGGAGGTCATATTGAGATTGTGTATCTGTCCAACTTTCAACATGAGAAAGTCTTACTTTATGAAAAAGTTGATCCAGATCTTTTTCATCATATTTATATGAATATTCAACATGAATCAATTCGTCTTTTTTCAAACTTATTACAATTTCTTTCTCTTCTCCTCCTTGTTGGTGATTATATTTCAACGTCATATCTTTCTTAGATTTATAATGAGATTCATGTCTACCTTCGATCTCGTTATAGAATGAATCATACTCAAAATCATTAGGATCAATGAAATTTTTTTGACCAAGAATAGTATTAACATGATTTAACCCATTGATAATGAAGTCTCTTGTAACACCTTTAGGGTCATCATATGCAATTCTGATTTTATCAGGATCATTTTTTCTGTCAATACCAACCAAAAATAAATCACCAGGATCCATAGATTGATTTTGAAGCCTTATGATAAAATCCGCTCCATCTTCTCTAGTAGAATTTCCTAATGATGAACCTAACCATAAAATTGTTTTAGACAATTTATCACCACTATTGCCATTAGAACTACCATTAGAATCGCCATTAGAATAACCATTAGCACAGTTATTGTTATCACTTAAAGAACCAATAAATTTGATCCCATCTTCATAAGTTCCCCAAAGACCCATAAGTTTAATGTTTTCGTAATTTCCAAGTGAACTTAAAGATTTTTTAAGTTCGTATTCCATAAGATCAAGAGCATAGTAGGTTATATTTTTTTTCTTTTTTTCCAATGAATCAAGAATTAGTTTGGTCTTACGTAGCGATCTAAACAATTATGGTTATAAACGAGAATATTCTTTGATTAACATCTTCCTTCGATCACATGAATTTAATAATTTTTGGATAATAATGAAACAAAAATTACCCTGAACCAAGTTCAATGACCACACTATTATCTTTGATGTGATCAACAATACGATCCGCCTCATTTTTCAAAATTTCGATTTCTGCATTAGTTAGGTAATATTCTTTGAGGTGAGTAATTTCATCAAATAATTGTAATCCTCTATCATCGTATAACAAAAAGGTAGGAATGGTTTTTATGACATTTTCAGGTTTATTTAAACCATTAATGATTGCTTCAATTAGTGATTCTTTACTAAATGTATATTCACGAATATCGATAATTTGAAAATTGGATTCTGTTGGTTGGGATGTTGTCATTTTTATTCGTTTTTTGTTAACTTTTTTTTTTCTGTTTTACTTCATTATATAGGAAAGTTGTATGACAGATCACGTGGCAAAAGCTTCCAACATATTGTGTGTATTATTTAATTTAATGAAAGGGCTTAACCATATATGTTTAATCTTTCGTATTTGGTCATAAAAAAAAATATTTAATTTGATTAATTGATTGATTTGATTGATTTGATAATTGATTGATTCAATGTTAGATAAATTTTTTTAAAAAATCAGCATAGCGTGCGTGCTTAACGCTGCTCATTACTTAATATATTTAAACAATTAGTAAAAAAAAAAATTTTTTCACAAATTCTAATATTTAAATGCTTGTAATCAACCATAATGCCGTTTCCTCTCAATTTCATTGGATCTATTAATGTAACATTGACCAGACCAAAATTGCTGACCCGATCCTAATTTTTAATTACTAGACAAAAAGAGAAATGTATTACATTGAAAACTTGACAAGAAAAAACGGTTCAATGAGTATAATAATAATAATAATAATAATAATAATAATAATAATAATAATAATAAAGTAATACAATAATAACAACTAATAAAAAGTTCACATGTTATTATTATGCACTCCTTCCAAAAAGTCACGGACCACCCCAAAAATTTCATACAATTATGCACAAAAAGGTTAATATCAAGCTTTGTTACTTTTTGGTTTCTTTGTTTTTCATAATATTTTATTGGGCTCAGGTCAGGTAACTGTGAAGGCAGATCCTCAAATCTTATGCTTAATTTTCTCGGTAAATGTTTTCCTCATGATCTCCATTATGATTTACAGTTGGTATCAATTTTTTTGCTCAAAATGTGTATCAAGAAATCCACCAAACACGATTTGGACCATCACTGTTAAAAACTGCAAACCCAGTTTCATCGGACAAAAGAACATTTCCAATTGATTGCGTTTGCCTCTCTAGCACCAATTGAGTTGTGTTATCTTGGAACGAGAAGAAAATCAATGATTTACAATGTGCTATGTTCTTTTTCAGCTTAGTGCAACAAATCAAATAAAAAAAATTGATCAACTTTAAATCTTATCTGAAAAAAATAGAGACAATATTGAATAGTTCTACAATCCATCATCGAGATAAATTACTGGTTTCAAGGTTATATGCTTTTAAAAATCGTGTGTTTTATATGTTACATATAAAAGTTTCCAAATTTGAAATATTTTAAGTTTATCTGAAATTTTTAAAAGCAAATTATCTCAAATGTCGTCTCTTTTTTTTTTCAAACAAGCATTCAATATTTCCCAATTTAGCTTTAAAATTATTTGGTATGTTGAAGTGACCCGCACCATACTATGCCGATTTTTATGGACAATGTTTTTCATTAGGGAGCCCAAGTTGAGGTGCAGTACTTGTTGTATGTGTAAGTATTATGGATTGTATTCCTATGCAAAAAATTTGACCATGAATTTCTTTATTCGCTAATTAAGATTATTTACTAATACTAACCATGCATAGAATTTTCGATAAGTTGGCCATCCATTTATATTATAAATACTTTAAACAATCGAGTGAAAGGATCGAGTTTACCCATGTATTTATAAAAAAAATGTCTTGAATCTTTGATTGTCATAGATTTAAACCAAAAAGAAAAGATTGAGCAAATAATTGAAAAAGAACGAATTAAGTTTGCACAATGATGAAATGTTGTGTTCCACAAGTTTCGTCCACATGTAAAACTTGATAAGGTTGATGGATGGAAATTTAGATTTAAAAAAAGAAGCAACATATTTTAATTCTTCTTATTTTTTTTTTTTTTATTAAAAAAAAAACAATGATGGGATAAAAAAATTCACACCAAAAAGAATGCTTTAATTTACTCATTATTTATAAAGGCTTTGGTCTTAAAGATGATGACAATAAATTAATTGACAAATTACAAAATCGTATTATTTTATATTTAAGTATTGTTTAGTTTCTAAAACAAGTCAGATTTAAGATTAACCGGTTAAGATAGTAGATCACTCTTAATATTAATTAGTAATTGTAAAAATTTAAAACAACAATTTGATTGTAAATCTTTGTTAGATGAAGCCACATTCAAATGGAGAGTAGCCCTCATCCACAACCTTCTATTCGTGTAACCCTTTACAATCCTTTTTTACTCAGTGTTGGAAGTTCAACAAAAAATCTATTTTTAGTAACAACCCTGATAAATTTGGTTACACGTATGTTTTATTAGAGATTATTATTGAGTAAAAAAAAAAAAAATATGGTGCGCGAAGTCTATAAGCACCATTTACTGTGCCACACTGCCAAATTTCACCAAAAACTCAAAAACCAAAATTTGAAAATCATTCAAAAAATAAT